CCACAGAAAGACTGCGCGCTCTCTGAGACAGAATGCTCTCACATAGAGCATGAGTTTCACTCTTCTCCACTCGCAAACCACCTTCTTCAATGAAGGCAGCCCCGCTCTTCATTTCTCCTCTCTCAGTGAGCTCGGAGATAGAAACGGTGGAGTCACGGAGCTGAGCAACAGGGTTTGAGTGATCTCACACCAGCACAGGTCCCGCATGCTCACTCTCCCCGCAGCACTTTAATCTGCCGGTGTTTTAGACGTGAGGATCGGCGCCCCTCGTTTCATCGATCGATTCAATCCTTCTAGGCGGATCGGCGTAGAATGCTGTCACCGACGTTCTGTATCACTGACAGCTTCACACTAGGCTGCATTCCCTGAGACAGACTGCTTTCACTGCGAGAGCATTGGGTCCGTTCCTGCTGCGCTCGCCGATCGCTTTCTTCAATGATGGCGACCCGCTCTCCCACTTCTCTCCTCCCAGCTGCCTAGGAGGAAGAAACGGTGAACTCACTGGTTGTGCGATCACACGCCGGCACAGGTCCTGCATGCTTCACTCTCCCTGCAGCACTTTGATCTGCCGGTGTTTTACATGTGAGGATAGGCACCACTCGTTTCATCGATTGATTCAATCCTTCTAGGCGGATTGGAGTAGAATGCTGTCACCGACGTTCTGTATCGCTGACAGCTTCACACTAGGCTGCACTCACTGAGACAGATTGCTTTCGCTGCGAGAGCATTGGGTCCATTCCTGCTGCGCTCGCAGATCGCTTTCTTCAATGATGGTGACCTGCTCTCCCGCTTCTCTCCTCCCAGCTGCCTAGGAGGAAGAAACGGTGAACTCACTGGTTGAGCAATCACACGCTGGCACAGGTCCCGCATGCTTCACTCTCCCTGCAGCACTTTGATCTGCCAGTGTGTTTTACACGTGAAGATCAGCGCCCCTCGTTTGCATTGAGCGGTTTGATCTTTTTAGGCAGATCAGAGGAAAACGCTGTCACCAATGATTCCATATCGCTGACAGCTTCAGACTGAGCGCGCCGCTTGCCTGGGCCACGCCTACGCTAAGGCTGCGCTCACTGAGATAGATCGCTTTCACTATGAGAGCTTGCGTCTCGCTTTGCTTCACTCGCAGTTCGCCTTCTTCCATGAAGGCCCCACCCGCTCTCCCATTTCTCCCCTCCCAGCTGTCTCAGAGGAAGAAACGTTGAACTCACGGGTTGAGCGATGAGGCTTGAGTGATCGCACGCCGGCACAGGTCCTGCATGCTTCACTCTTCCGGCAGCTTTTTGATCCGCCAGTTTGTTTACATGTGAGGATCAGCACCCCTCGTCTAATGACCGGTTTGATCTCTTTCAGGCGGACTGAAGAGAATGCCGTCACTGATTATTATCACTGACAGCATCAGACTTTAATGCGTCTGGGCCACACCCACGCTGAAACTGCGCTCACGGGGGCAGGCTGCTCCCACTGCGAAACACTTTGAGAGGAACAGGAGAGGGTCAGTTTTCGCCAAGGCCAGAACTCCTTTGAAGAATGTACGTGATCATTCCCCACCTCTTCGAATACTTCTGAGCGATGGAGGTTTTTAGCCGGGCATTTCCTGCAAGCTCAGCATGTGCTCCAGCAAACTACCACTGTGATAGCGGACCCACATACTCAAAAGAGCATTTCTCCTCTCCCTGCAATCACAAAGTGCACGGACGTGATTCTTTCCCCTCTGAGACAGATGGGAATCGGCATCTTGGACTACCTCGATGACTGGCAGATGCTAGCCGGATCAGAACAGGAACTTATCGCTCACAGGCCGTTGTTCCTCAACCATCTAGAGCGTTTTGGGATGAGAATCAACTCAGCCAAGAGTTTTCTGACTTCCAGACAGCGAGTATCCTTTCTGGGACCAGTTAAAGACTCAGTTCAAATGCAAGCCTGGATTACGCAGGAACGCTCCCTGAACATTCAGCGAGTGGCGTCATTGTTCAAGTTGGGGACTACGCGTCCCCTCAGGGTGTTTCAGAGGTTTGCTCGGCCTCATGTTTGTTGCCTCCTCAGTCATTCCCCTGGGCCTGCTACACATGCGGCCCCTCCAATATTGGCTCAAAACTCATGTTCCGTCCCACACCTGGCACCTGGGCCGCTATTATGTCAAGGTAACTCATCACTGCATCAAAGCTGTGGACCCTTGGACAACTCCTCACTTGTTTCTATCAGGCGTACAGTTGGGAACGACCTCCAGGAGGAAGGTAGTCACAACGGATGCCTCCAGCTCAGGCTGGGGCACTCTGTATGGTCCTGGTCGATCCATGAGCAATGCCTGCACATAAACTGCCTCAAAATGATGACTGTTTGTCTGGCCCTGAAAACCTTCCTGCCAGCCTAGAAGGGGCACCAAGTCTTGGTCCGGTTGGGCAACATGACTGTGGTAGCCTATATAATTCGCCAAGGCGGCCTCAGGTCAAATTCCCTTTACAGGATGACTTGGCGTCTCCTGCTTTGGGCACAGAGCAAACTCCTCTCACTACGAGCGGTTCATGTGCCGGACAAATTAAACCAAGAAGCATGATATGTTGTCCAAAGACAATGTGGCTCCGAGGGAATGGAGACTATGTCCCCAGTCGGTTTAGATGGTTTGGTCAGTCTTTGGCAAGGCAGAGGTGGACCTCTTCACCTCCGAAGACAATTGTCACTGCCCAATCTATTTTTCATGACAACGGGATGCTCTGGCCCATGATTGGCCCAACACCTGAGCCTATTCAGCTCCCCGCGAGAGTCACTAACACAATTTTAGAGGCTAGAGCTTCATCTACAAGACGTCTCTATGCCCTTAAGTGGTCAGTCTTCAGTGACTGGTGTTCAGCACGAAGCCAGGACCCGAATTCTTGTGACGTGTCCCACGTGCTAACCTTCCTTCATGAGTTGTTGGATAGGGGCTGCACCCCCTCCACACTCAAAGTCTATGTGGCAGCCATCTCGGTGAATCATTCTCTCGTGGCTGGCCAGACAATCGGTAGAAACGACTTGGTCATTAAGTTCCTCAGAGCTGTTCGGAGATTGAACCTTCCTCGCCCTAAGACTGTGCCGTCATGGGACATGTCCATAGTCCTCCACAAGGAAGGCCCTCCACACAAGGTCCTCCCTTCGAGCCGCTTCAAACAGCTGGCTTACGGGTCATTTCGCTAAAAAGGTTAAGCGGGTAGGTGACTTGCAAGTGCTGTCTGTCAGTGCTTCCTGTCTTAAATTTGGACCCAACGACTGTAAAGTTGTTCCTCAACCGCGCAGCGGTTACGTACCTAAGTTGCTTTCAGCTTTCAACTTATGTTCAGAGCCCAGGTGATTTCCCTGTTAGTCCTCCCTGTGGTGGATGGCAAGCTAGTTCCCAGATTATTGCGCCCTGTTCGGGCACTCAGAGTGTACGTTGAGCGCTCTAAGTCGTTCAGACAAACGGAGCAGCTCTTTGTGTGCTTTGGAGGCCCTGGCTTATGCCTCAGCTTGCTTGCAATGCCCTATAGGTGTGAGGGCCCATTCCACCAGAGGAATGGCCTACTCCTGGGCGTGGTCCAGTGGGATCTCTATTGGAGAGATTTGTGCGGCCGCCGGCTGGTCGTCGCCATCTACCTTCATTAGATTTTATAATTTGGATGCCCCTGCACTGCAGGCACGGATCTTATTTGATTAATATCTACCCATTCCCCACCTCAGGTGGAAGGGCTATGTCAAGTAGACCTCACACTATACTTGGATCTCTACTGTAGCTCAGGCTTATGGAGCCCTCACTGAGTGTTCCTGGGTTGAGCTCGTAGAAGCAGACTTAGTTCTGCATCTGCTCATAGCACGGCACTACGGGATACGTTCCCTATAGTCGTCAAGACGACGCAACAAGAGTTACCTTTCGATAGGGAATGCTCTGGTTACTAATGTAACCTCGGATCCTTGAGATAAGGGAACAAGCGTTGTGTAACTAGCCGTGCTATAAGCTGCACGCGAATCGATGACTGTCGCTTCAGTCGAGTGATTTTGATGACATGGCTTTCTGAGCCGAGTAAAACAGGAGTTTTCCCCATAGTCGTCAAGACAACGCAACGCTCGTTCCCTTATCTCAGGGAACCAAGATTACATTAGTAACCGGAGCGCTATTAACCTAATCTAGGTTTCTAATTTTAGGTAATGTATTCTGACTACTTTTTACATTACTTTTAGATGACTTTTTATCTAACTTGTTTTAAACTTTATACTTTAAACATTACGTTAAACCAGGGTTTCCCAAACTGGGCTTAGTGTAAGAACTGCAGTGGGTTTGTGAGTTGATAAAAAACTATTTTTTTATCTTGCACCTGGCCAAGACGCTTTGGATGTGCATACATTGACCTTTTTTTAAAGGGGTTTGGCTGGCAAAAATATTTGGGAATGAACAAACATTAATAAACATGAAAACAGCAATGACATTACACACCCAGAGTCTTCTAGGTTGCACCCAGTCTTTAAGAACCAATAGTTACTGATGGTTACAGGATATGATGAAGAGAGTGTTTCACAGCTATGTTTGGTAACTTGCATAACTATTTGCTTCATACGTGATCTAATTTCTCAAGATGTGCTGTTTTCCCCCAAATTCAGAAGCATGGATCGCAAAATTATTTACATGACATTTACATGGCCATTCAATAGTGTAAATATAATCAAAGCTAAATGGTATGACACACAGCAGGAATTTTAGAGAGGAAAATTTAAAAGAGAAAAAAAGAAGAATTAAGGAGAATAAATAAATTATGAATGATTTACTGCCATTGTGTGAATAATATGTAATCATGTAATCCATTAAAAAGTAAATGTAATCTAATTATGAGCATTTTAAAAAGATGCTGCAGAGCGTGACATCATATTACAATCACTGCAGCTTCTGAAGAAATTTCACATGCTCAAAGTCTAGTGTGACCGTGGCTTTACCCTGAAAACTGTCAGAAGATGGAAAGTTAAATTCATTGATAAATGTGTCTGAGTTTCTCTGTCTGTAGAATCAGCTGCTTCAGACACAGACAGACGTGCAGCAGATGATCCAGAACAGAATGAAGAAGATTGAAGAGATCCAGCACTTAGTAGAGCTGAGAAAAGTGAGTGGGGGGGGGGAATGATTAAAAAGTAATAATGTTATAAATCATAATATTTCAGTCTGCTTAATAAAGGAGCTCAATTAAATGGATAAAAAAAGGACACGTTTTAAGTGACATGAGGACAGTAGATGAGAGAATTTTCCTTTTTGAGTTAACTATCACTTTAAATAAATATGTAACAATGTAACAGATTGTCACAGTTATGGACTTTTTATTGTGTTTCTCTCTGTTCCTGTTCTCCTGCCCTGTTTAGTTCTGTTAGTTTCTTATTAGTCCTGATTTGTTTCTATGGTTATATGATTTGCAGCTGTCTATCATTCATTTGTTTCATTACTTATACTCCCTGTTCTGTTCAGTGTTTGCCATTTATTGTTTATGTTCATGTGTTTGTGCTACATTGGTTTCGGTGATCTCCTGAGTTCCTTGTGGATTTATTATTAAAGGACTGTTGTGGATTATTCTTCATCTTTGTGCGCTTATTATAGAGCACCAAGCGTGACACAGATTGATTGTCATATAGAATATTTTGTTAATTGATCTCATTGATCAGAGGAACACAGAGGAAGAGAAATCGGCCAGTGTTGAGCTCTTCACTGATCTGATCCGCTCCATTGAGAGATGTCAGTCTGAGCTGCTGAAGATGATGGAGGAACAGCAGAAAGCAGCAGAGAAACAGGCTGAAGATCTCATTAAAGAGCTGCAGCAGGAAATCACTGAGCTGAAGAGGAGAAACACTGAGCTGGAGCAGCTCTCACACACTGACGATCATCTGCACCTCCTGCAGGTCTGTCAACATCTGTATCATCACTGAGAATAGAGAATATTATTTATCAAATGCTCTGTTGACAAACATGATGAGCTGCTGTCTTTAGAAATTGTACAAAAGAGAATGAAAGCGTAATAAAGTCAAATCAGAAAAATGAGTTAACTGTGTTAGAAAGTTCATGCCTATTTAAAGTTAAAAATAAAAATGAACATATTTACTAGTCTTCTCTCTCCTGCTGTAGAAGTTCTCATCTCTGTGCAGTCGTCCACACACCAAGAACTGGACTGAGATCAGTATTGACTCTGATGTGGATGTGTTCTCTATGAAAAGAGCTTTGATTCAGCTGAAGAAAACTCTAGATGAAAAACTCTGTCAGTCTGGTATGTTAATATCAAATACAGTGAATAGATTTCTTATGTGAACTTCTATCCAAACTTTAACTCCTGTCATAACCAATTAAATCAGTATTACTTGTGAATACCAGAAAGCAACATGCAATGAACATGATGTAAGTATTAAAGGGGTCATATGATGCTGCTAAAAAGAACATTACTTTTTGTATTTGGTGTAATGAAATGTGTTTATGCGGTTTAAGGTTAAAAAAACATATTTTTGTGCTTTGATTGGCCAGCTTTCCAGTGCGTTGTGATTGGCTGAATGCCTCAAGCGTGTGACGGAAATTTTCGCTTTCACAACAAAACACAGCGTCTCCACGACATGGCGGCAGCAGCAGCAACAATACTACAGCCAGGGTTGCCAGGTTTTCACAAGAAAACCCGCCCAATCGCTACTCAAAACTAGCCCAAAACAAGCCAAATCGCATTTTCGAGGGGGTCCCCAGTTAAAAATCGCGTTCCGGGGGGTAAAATACACGTTTTTTGGCGGGTTCCCCCTGCTAAAATTCGCATTCCAGGGGATAAATATCATGTTATTGGAGTCGCTTCAACCCGCGGACATGAAAAACAACCCGCGGCAACAGTGTTAAAGTAGCCCAA